CCAGACAGAGGTATGCAGTGTAATTTGTTGGTGTGATTAGTTTAGGTGAATGAGTTCGCAGTCCTCTTCTGCGTCTTCTTCTTGTTCTACCTCTCCTGCCTGACCTTCATCATCGACTGAAGTGGATAGTGTGGCGTGCGTGCGTGCCTGAAGTTGCCATGGTGGTAGTGTGGCTTAGGAAGATGGCAGGTTCGGCAGGACACGACAGTGGCTTGGTGGAATTGTGTGGCGTGGCGTGGTAAAGGTGAGTTTTCGGTATAGAGTGGCACAACATGAGTCTGCGTGGTGGATACCGCGCCTCAGTAAGGCGGCGTGTCACCAATAGTTACGCGTTAATGAGCTCGGTGGTTGGTGTGCGGTCTAATGCAATGCGCGTCGTTTTGTTATTGGAAACAGAGACCACTTCCTGGGAACGATTAATGCTTTGTGAGTGCTCCAGTGCTTCAAAGACAACTGCTCTTACTTCCTCGGGCATCACATTGCAGTGGAATGGACTGGACTGGTGGAAGAAGGAGATGGAGAAAGTGTAAAGGAGGGAGGTAGAATGTGGGAGAGAGGAGAAGGAGGAGGAGGAGGATGAGACCCCTGCAGCGAGGGTGAGTAGACGGTTCTGACAATTTTGATGCGTCAAGTCATCAGATTGAGTAAATGCTATAGTTGTAGGTGGCGGTACTTAGTGCGTATTGTTGTGGAGAGCCATAACGGATGTAGAGTGCCGTTAGGGTAAAGGAAAACTTATTTTTTGCCATAACCCTACAAAACATATTTAAGAGCCTCAGATAGATCTCCGATAATAGCCTTGAGGGGTGGGAGGGGGAGCAGGCAGCGAGGAAAGCAAAAAGACAGCATGTTTGCTTAAAAAAAATTTCCTTTATTTGTATTTCATGAATAATTAGTTAGGAGCTGATTTTTCTTAGATTGATGAACGATTAAATATCATGAATGGGATTTCAATCGCAATAGGAATTACCTCAATTTAAGTTGATCCTGGAATGACTCGACTTGACTTGGAACGACAATTAGTTAAATTTACTTTGCTTTAATTCCCACTGAGACGATGGGCAGATGGTTAATAACGCATCTTAATTTAATTGGGTGATTTATTTAACCCGTGCTGTTGTCGTTGTTCGTCTTCATCACCATGGAATTTTGATATAAAGTGGGGTTATGGAGAGGTTTGTGGGGGAGGAGGGGAGGGGAGGGAAGAGAAAACATGGAACAGCGCCTGAGTAGGTGTTAACTTGTCTAGGTGTGAGTAGTACCGAGTATCACTCACTGATTCTACGGCTGCAGAGAAATTTGGCGCTTTTTCAAAGCATAACGAAACGAGGCACGTTAGATCGTGGACTTAAGGCACTCAACCTGTTTGGAGGATGGTATCGAGGTGTAAATTAGGTCACGGCTTATTGCCTGTGAGTAGGCAGGTCTTGTTGGATTAGCAACGGCAAGTTAACGGAAATACCTCGAGTTAAGGGGCCGGTGTCGAGGTGCAAAAACATGTCTGCTGATATTTTACTACCGTCGCGAAGTGAATTCACCTTCTGATTGGAAGTGTGCAGAAGACATGACAACAAGTGTGGTTAAAAAAATCACTGAGCAGTATTTCGTGAGTAATTAGTTTGGAGCTGATTTAACTTAGATTGTTGAACGATCACATCATGAATGGGATTTCAATCGCAAGAGGAATTACCTCATTTGACATTAATTTTTTAATGCTTTCTTGGTGCAACTCTTGCAAAACCAAACATGGCACCTCCACAGTAGCCTTTAGACTTGTTGCGTAACGTCTATTTTGCAGAACCTAATCGGTTGGCTGCTTGTAATTTAGTTGGCGCATTTAGGTAACACCTGG